GGCCCAGAAGGCCCCGTTCGCTTGGCCCGTCCTGGGGGTTTCGCTCTGGGCTGCGCTACAAAAACTCTACCCCTATCCTGCGGAATCCCTCGGAGCCAAAAACGATCCTCGCCCCTGGTCTTTTTTAGGGAGAAGCTCTTCGGCCCCTCACTGCTGGCGCCTAAAACTGGCAGCTCAAGATCCCCACGAGCTTGCAGTTCCATGAAACGGCGACTACCCACGAATGCTGGCGGAACGAAGGCGCGAGCCTTGCTCAGAGGATTCACGGCACCCCCACCCACAGGACTAGGCCCAGGCACTGCAGCAGTTTTTACTTCTGGAACCGCTCCAGAAGACGAGATGCGTCCCGTTCGAGAGATCCCCTCGGTGCTCCCCCATGTTTGCGCACCGCCCCACTCGCCTTCAGATAGGACTCGATCGCCTCCTCCAAAGGCCGATACTTCACGTCGACAGCGAGAGTGATCCGAAACAGCTCTGGCTTTCCCTCGACCTTTTTTGTGGGACGGATGCGACATGCACGAACTTCGCTGGCTAGATCTTGCACGGGCTTTTTCATCACGACGGTCGTCCAGTAATCTTCCAGGATCTTCTTGGCAGCGGGCGGGCAATTCGGGTCCGCGCCCATCCCATGAATGAACGCACTCCACACGTGCAAGAAAGGGGGGCCCAGATCCTCCTGCATTCCCTCCGACGACTCCTTCATCTGCTGAACTTTGTTGTGATAGGCCGCCCCCGCGGCCTTGGCCGCGCGAGCTGCAGGGTTCGTCACTTGGATCAGCCACGCCTGGAAGACAACCCCGCACACCTCGCGCAGCTGCGCTGCATTTCTCAACGCGAGCTTGGTCAAAATGACGATTAATTGCCTGAGAATCGCTTGCTTGCCGCCGCCTTGTGCTGACTGTGAAGCATGGTCCACTATAGCCTCGGCCGCGTCTCCAACACGCCTCTGCTTGTGCCTCGGTTCCTCGCCAGCCAACATCCAGGCCGGCTTCTCGTCCATGGCGCGAAGGAACTTTGGGAACGCTCTCAAGGTGCGTGCACAGGTGCTTCTGCAAATGCTCGAACAATCCAGCTACATACGGACACAGTGGACAGGCTAGAGATGACGGCACACGAATTTCACAAAGATTACGCGTAGCATCGGCAGCACACTCTCCTCGTCGAAGACTCTGCGAAAGATGACGACGGCAGCTTTCGCGATGTGCAAAGACCAGACCACAGACACAGCACTGATTGGACACAGACATTACGTGTGCGAGCTCTTGAAACCCGTGATGTGCTATTATGTGTGTGCACCGCGCGTCGCTCTCGTAGTATACGCCCACAGACCTCCCCAGTAGGACCCAAAAGCGAACACCGATATGCACCTTCACAAACATCATCCTGAAGCATCCCTGGAATCTCCTCCGCGTCTAGAAACTCGACTGGTGGAACCTGAACCCCGAGTACCCGCGAGCGAAGTTGACGAACATCGATCCTGCAGAACTCTTCGCTAAACTCAGGGTCCGAAAAAGCAAGAAAGACTCTATCTTCCAGTCGTTCCATGAAAGACGCACCCTCATCAAGGTCGGCGAGGGCTCGAAAATCTGCAAGCAACTGACAAGCCCACGGTGAGGCCCATCTCGAAAGCCGCTTTTCGGGCGTCACCACTGGTTGTGAAACTTCAAAGTGCCCAAACAGCGCAGTGAGGACCTGTTGGTTAGCCAGCGGTGCACGCGACAGAGACTGCCAATAGCGCAAGCGACGAATAGTAAGCTCCGTCTCCAACGGGACCAGACGCCACCAGCGGAGCACAGCAGCAGAAGTCATCGACTTAGGGTGACCTGGAGCCTCCCTGTCACACGCCCTCCCTCCCATCGCCCTTCGAGCATACCCAGCCACCATATTGTTCAGCTTAGATAAATCCTGCGGACTCGGCGTGAAGCCTTCAAGACCAGAAAGTGCAGTATTATATATCTTTGAAATAAATACACAGCGGCGAAGCCTATGGGGAACTCCAGGAACACTCCAGAAACCTCCAAGAGAGTCCCAGGCTCGTTGCAGAAGGAGGAGGAGGAAGAGGAGGAGGAGGGGGAGGAGGAGGAGAACGACGACAACGAGGCCATTCCCCGTCTCGGGCCCAAGGGCGCCCACACACACACGCACACACACACAACCACACACGCGCGCGCGCACGCGCACACGCACACACACGCACACACACACACACACACCAAAACACGAATCGACAACATAGGTGCAATCAAACGGGTCGTTTTGTCCTGATTCCGCTTCTCTCGCCCCCTCCTTCCCCCCAACTCCCTCGCCCCCCTCGTCTGTCCTAGCGCGAAGCACCTCGCAATCTGGTAAAGAAACGAGGAGGACAAGAGGAGGAACGGAACGCTGCGACGACGACGAAAAAGACGACGACAACGGCGACGACGCCGCCGACGCCGACGACGAGACCAGTGCAAACCCAAGACTGCAATCAACCTTCCCTCCAAATTGCCTCTTCACAAATCACTTTCAACGATCAAAGAAGAACCACCCTCCACCCGTGAAACCCTTGCAGTTGCTAAAACGACTGCACGCGGCGCTACAGAGATAACCACCGCGCGAAAGCGGACCAGACTACATCTATGAAACTTTTTTATGTGAGGGAAACAAAAAGGCGCGCGGCACCTAAGCGAGAATCACACGTTGAAAGCGGCCCGCCCTCCAGCCGCAAAACTCCTACAACTTGAAAACGAATGCGCGCGGCGCTAAGGTAAGAGCCACATTTTGAAAGCGGCCCGCCCCCCACCCTGTGAAGCTCTTGCGCATTTCAGCGGAAGGATGGCGAGGAATGTTCAGCCCGCCCTATCAACACGCCTCGGGGCGCGACAGAAGTGACGCAAAGGCTCGCCGACGACTTCTCACAAGAACTCGGGCATCCAAAAAGGTTACGCGCATCATTCGCGCAACACTTCGATGGTTACGCGGATCCGCGTAACACTTCGTTGTTACGCGGCGTCTCTCTCGAACCAACTCAGCGGGGGGGGAGAGAGTGTGGTCGCTGAGAGCAGCGTGTCTCGCCAACTCCTGTGAATTGCAGGCTTGGGGGCGAAGGGGCGAGGTGCTACGCATATGACACGCGTAACACTTCGAAGTGTTACCGATGTGTGCCGCGGGTTTCACCAAACTCGGTGCTTGTACATCTTTCAAAGCAAAGCGTTGCGCGCATCTGTGCCGCCATTTTCACCACACTGTGTCTTACAGGTTTGAGGGCGAGTTCTTACTCGCGTCGGTCGCGTAACACTTCAAAGCGTTACGCGCGCCAGCCCCATAAAGGGCGAAGTACTACGCGACGGACGCGCGTGAAACTTGAATATGGTACGCGCATCTGCGTCGCGGGACGCACGAACCCTGTTTTGAACAACTTCGAAAACGAACGGTCACGCGCATCGGTCGCGTACCCACTTCGATTGTTGCGCGCATCAGCAGCGTCAAAAACATTGCTGCGAGCATCCATCTCGCAACGACCTATTGCAACGCAGGTGTGTTGCAGCGCACGTCCAAATAATGTAGGAAGGAGGTCGCTCAGGTTTTCCTTGGTCTCGGGGATGCGCGTCGGTCTCCTCATCATGCTTCTCTCTTCCTCAGGGAGACTGTGCGCTCATGGCCCTCTGAGAGATCATTGCTAGAAGTTCTCGTGAGCGCGCGGGCGACCTGTGTCTGCTGTTTTCCGCCTGCGCGCCACAGAGCGTTGTGTTATACTGCTCGACGCATGGCTGCTTCAAGGGAAGGTTCATCAACAGTGGGCGCTTTCCTGTTCGCCCCCACAACGTCCCAATAGCTTCCCGACGAGACAGCACTGCATCTCTCACAATGTTGTTGCACTGTGCAACGAAATCACACTGGCATGGCGCAGCGCCAATTCAAAGGAGATACAAAAATACACTCAAATCCAACCACTAATCTCCACCATCCCCTCCCCCGACTAAGCCAGCATTTAATCAGAAGTGTCAGCGGGCCTTCCTGGACCTCCCGACGGGGCCGGAGCCACTAGGCTCCGTTACCACTGTGGAGATCACAGTGGCAAGATAGGAACGGGATCCGCAGCGAAAGAGGCTGCACTCTCCTCTTTCTCACGCGCGCTCGGGGCGGCGCTCACGGCGCGCCACAGTAATTACCCAAGGGCCCTGCGAGCCGAGAGGCGGCGGCAGGGCAGCGGTGGAGAGAGCGGCGAGGGAGGAGGGGCTAGAACAGAAAGAGCAAGCATGCGTCGCCTCGTTGTTCGATGGACTAGCCCTCCTACCCTCCCAATCCCAAGATACCAGGTGCCCGCCCCGCTCGTCCCATGGGCGGCCACGACGCACCGCGCCGACGCTGGCCAGGCCCATCCCCGGCCCGGGGCCAGTGGACACACAATCTCGGAAGCTGGGCGAGGGCTGGCAAGTCCGTGGCTGCCAAAACGGTCCTGCCAGAAGAGAAAAACAAAGTCCCGTCATAAAACTCAGCGCGCTCAGTAGTAAACGGGCTGCTTCCCGGAAGAACAGAGCAAATTCCCAGAGCTCCGTTTTGGCAGCCACGGGTTTGCCAGCCTTCGCATGGCTTCTGACAATCCTGGCTTGGTCAAGAAAGCCCGTGGCCGATTCTGGAAACCCTGGGTCGAGACATTCTGCCTTCTCGCTCTTGCTTCTGCCAGCAACCGTGCCGCTGCGAGCGGCCCTCCGCACAGGGCGAGACGCGCGGAAGGCGAGGCCGCTCCTGGAACGCCCTGCACAGCTACTGGTCCTGGGCCCCGGATGGGCCCGGCCAGAACTGGCGCGGCGCAGATGTTCGCACAAGTTGCACGCGGTCGCCGTCAACCCAGAGTTACGACGTTCTGAGTCTCCCGGACGGGACCCCTGGCAATCCCAACCACTTCCCCAGGGCTGGCTCTGCTGAGGGCCCCGGGTCCCGAAAGCGACCCCCGAGGCGCCGAAAACAACGAGGAGCCACAGCCTCGCCCTCAACAAGAAGGCGCTCGATGTCTCGTCCTCGGGCACGGGGTCCAGGGGCGCCCGGCCAGCGGCTGCCGGCAGGGCCCCGGCGAGGACGAGGCCGACGAACGCCGTCAGCGAGGCGGCAAGCGTGGCCAGCACCAGGCCGGGGGCGACGAGGGCCCAGCGGCGGGGTGGGAAGGCGCGGTGCAGCCACGGGGCGACCTCGGGCGGCCACATCGGCAGGACCAGCACCCACACGGTGAAGTATGCGAAGGCGGTGGCCGACGCCTGGAGGCCCCCCCGAAGAGGATGCGCCTCGGACAACGCACGATCGGGTGATGGAGCGTTTTGACGTGTTCGACATTTCGACATTGGGCGGAAGGGGAGGGGGGAAGGCGACCTCTGCATAGCGTGACCGCTTGCAACAGTGCGTCATGTGGGGGAGACTACAGTCGAAAACGCACTGGTAAGCTTAGGTATATATTACGCCTTAGGCGCTCCCATATCCCAGGCTTTGGCTCATATCGCATGAGCAAGAGAGCAAGACGAAGCATGGGATCTGGAGTAAAGGATAGGATGGGCATCGTCAATGGAAAAGGTATTTTCCGATCTCAGATACAAGTCGCGCGCCTCGGTGAGGCACAATCACATATTTGGCCGGGCCCGGCTTGAGCCAGGCACGGCAGCGGTACATGCTCGATTTATACCTCGCCTTTAACCTTCTCCGTTTAAAGTCGGAGGGGGAGGAGACGAGCAGGCACCGCACTTCTACATTATGCGGAAAAACAGTGCTAAGCAGCAGCGGCTGCCTACAAGGAAAGGGCGCGCGAGTAGCCTCGCTACCGGCGAGTTTCCTCGCTATTAAAGCGCACCTGCCCGCGGGTTTCCCCGCTAGCTCGGGAGGCAGGGCCGTCCTGAGACGACCTGCCCGCCCTATACGGTGCATGTTTCTTCAGCTCGTGCTTGAAGGATTGCTGGCCGGCCATTACTTGTAGGAGCAACGCGCGGTCAATACTACCTTTGGTATGACCATCGGCAGTCATATCCCGCGTGTCACACCATTGAACGCTTTCAACGATTCCGCGCTCCATCATCTGGCGGATCCAGCTAATGTGCCCAAGCAGAGTACATTCTGTGGGCTTCTTCAGATCTTTGCTAGACAAAGACTTGAAGACAGACTCGGCATCAATAGTCAGAGTGACTTTGATACATAGACCACCCATTTCCAATATGTTCTTTAACTGTGTGGGGGTCAATGGTCCCGAGTGTAGCTCGTGGAGCGTTACAATGGTCGGGTAGCAGTCTTCCAAGTTGTGGGCTGCTGCCAGTGTTTCCGCAGAGTAGCTCGAACGCACCTGCAGTCGATGAGACTTGCAGTATGCGTCCACCAGGTGCACGACGGGTTTCCCCGCTTGCGTGTGGCCACGCCTCAGCAGGTTAGCCCCGCGGATACCATAGCCTTTGACTTCGTCGTCTTCATCTCCATTGAGACGGCGATAGCCAGAATCGCTATGCAGGTCGACTTCTCCTGTTGGGGTCATAGCTTGATACACGATCTTCTTCGGACCTGCCTGTAGTTTCCTGGTAACCGCGTTTAGTCGTCGTACCTGGATGTTTGTCGGTTCCTGGATACGTTGTAGTGAGACAACATAGACCATCAGCCATACCTGCGTGATCAACGCATAGGCTAGAGCGCCACGGAGACTGACGAACATATCAGAAATCGTCTTTGTCGCTTTGCTCTCAGGATCAGCTCCTGTGAGTTCTGGATGTGTGATAGGACGAAGCTGCTTGATGTATTCGTCCTGATCAAGAGTGACGCTCCCATCATCGGTCTTGTTATACCGAACGGCACAGTTTGTGTATGTGTGCTTGTTCAGTTTGCACTTCCCAAACGTATCTTCAACACACTTGACATACTTGTCAATAGCCTCTTCCTTCCCAGTCATATTGATGTCATCAACGTGCTTGGCTGTCAAGAGGTTTGAGCTCATCTCGAACTCTTCGTCGTATGAAGTAGGCTGTAGCCCAAAGCTCCTAGTGATGGACCTGAGCTTCAGCGAGAATGCCCTGGGAGCATCCTTCGTGCCCGTCCCCGGCTTCAGACACCGAAGACAATGCTTTGATTCGTCATATGACTCAAAGCCTGGCAGTGTGCGAAGGACAGCTGCTGACCCAGGAGGTAGTGTGAAGCACACCACACGCTCTTTCTCGCCCGTTGCCGCGGCGAGCTCGCTATAGGTCAGTCCCTTCAAGAAAGCCATGTTGATGTCCAGGGAAGCGATGATCCAAGCTTTGTTGCATGCAGCAGAACTTGCGAGCAGTCTCTGGCTTGACCTCCTTGCCGTGCCAGAGAAGGCTTCGACATCAAAGGCTTCAAGGTCCATGAAGCCACGGAGTACCAAGCGTAACCTGATCGTCCTTTCCATTTCGCCCTTTTCGTTCTTGACAAACTTCCATTTGTATACGTAGCGTGACGTCATGATGTTAGACGCTTTGCTCAAGTCAGTCATCTGGAAGCATTTGTTGTCAAGCCAAGTCTTCAATTCTGTGTAAAGGGCTTTGGAAACTTTGACCGGATTTGCTTGGATGTCGGCCTTCGTGAGTAGATCGTCTTCCTTGACGACCACGGCACGTTTGGAGGCAGCACTAACGTATACTCGCATAGTTGTGACGCTGCTGTCATCCAACAATCGGCGTTGCTGCTCGGACAGGACGACTTTGGACATGTCTGCTGTGAAGCAGAGCTCGATGTACTTCCCGTGCTCATCGGAGTCCAGATCATATTTGCTATCCGGATCCGTGGAGCATAAAGGAACGTAGTAAGAAGTGTCCATGTCGTATCCTGGCGGGTGACCCCGCTCCGGCAAGTGGCCTTGCACATCTTCACAGGTCGTAGAGACTAACACACACTGTGTGTCTGTCATGTATGTGGGAACTGTATGCATGACTTCTTCTGTGTCAGCTTCAAGGAGTGTTCTGTCATCCATCAGTTCAGCATACCACGACTTCAAGACAAAGGCATCCAGATCTTCTTCTGTTTCCTCTATGATGGTCGGGAGCCGACCATCGTTCTCCGCAGGAGGCTGCTCAGGAGCAGCTGCTGGAGGTGACTCGCTTGGTGGTGGACCATCAGCGAGTTCCTCAAACTTAGTGAGGTCTCGGTCAAATCCAGCAGGCGGCTTCCTGGATTTAAGACACTGGATGATGCGTGAGTGTGTAGATCCTGTGATGTCGTAGATGTTCAAGGCAGTGCCATCAGCTTCATAGTAATGAAAACCAGGGGTCACATCATTATCATAGTGCACTAGTGTACAGCTGTCTGCATAGGGTGCAGCAGGCAACTTCGTCAGGCTCTTGGCAAGTCGTACAGCAACAACGTTTTCAATACGAAAGTAGTTGCGTATGAGGTACTGAAGAGCCAAGTGCACCTTAGGCGAAAGTCGGCTCGCAGCAGTCATCTGCAGCCGACCCTGTTTCGCTGGTAGATATCCGAAAGTCATGGCGGGTTTCCCCGCTGGCAGACCGGCAATAAAGGCCAATACTGTCCGAAGGGCCGTATTGTCCGATCCTATCTCGCGGACCATAAGTGCTTCGATGTACAGCGTGTGTCGTGTGTCAGGATACTGTACTCGCACCTCGCGACTGCCGACCTTCACGATGACCTGGCCTCGGTCAGGTTCGTTGCGGATGACCGGGTATGGACCACTCCATCCACCCCAGTCGTCTTTCGTGGTGGTCGGGCGATGATAGTCCACGAGATCTCCCTCTTTGTAGTGAAATTCACCCGTAGCAGTAGTCTTCGTACGGAGAGCCCTGTTCGTCTTGGCAACCGCAGTGGCCTGCGTGATTGCCTCCAGACTAACCCTCCTGATTGTTTCCTCCCTTGAGTGATCTGATGATTCAGCGGACTGATCATGATCCAAGACAGGGAAATCGGGAAGCATAGCTGGTTGTCTGCCATACAGCGCATTGTACGGAGACACTTCATTGTAGAAGGTAAATGCGTTGCTGGCAAACAAGGCTTCATGTAAAAGACGAGTGAAATTCAGAGGAATATTTAATCTATTCAATTCTTCTCCCATCACGTGTATGAGGTGTCGCAGGATGCCGTTCCTAGCTTCGATAGTCGTGGCGTGTTGGCCACGCGCTCGGATACGAAGCTCTGTTCCCTTAGCCTTAAGGATGGCCTTTGCTGTATCGTTATTCAGTGCTCCTTCCCCATCGGAGTATAAGATTTTAGCAGGGCCATGTTGCATCCAAGTTGTATGATAGGCATCGAGAACAGTATGCATGGTCTTATCAGGAATCTCTGTGCCAGCTGCCCAGCGAATACAACGGTCGATGATGTGAAAAACAATATGTTCCTGTTTGTAAAAGAAAAGATCACATTCGACTTCCTCGTTGAAACGTCCTGGCAGTGACACAGAAGGCATCACCGTGTTGCCTGGTTTGTCCCAGGCTCGACATTCTCTACACGAGTCGCAAATGCCTTTGATCAGACTCAAACGGGTTTCACCCAGACCAACCTTGGTTAGAATCATCCGCATTTTTGGCTCCTTGGCATGAAACCATCTCAAGTGGAGTTTGCGGAGTTCTCGCTGCACTACAGCTGGGTCAAAGCTGCGCAGGTTTTGGAGGCTGAGCTGAACGTCGAAGCGAGTCCAATCAGGGAGCCTTGGCCTTGGCCTCGGCTCTGCTTGAGGCTGCGGCGGTGGTGGAGGATCTCCTCCCTCCATGCGTCCGCGCCTTGCTGCAACTTGTGGCAGTCTACGGTGATCGTCAGAGCTGCCAGCGCCAGTGTTGCCACCATTAGCCCCTTCGGCTCTGGTGATGTCATGGCTGCTGGCGCCTGCGGTTGGATCGCCCTCACCAGGCCGTGGCGGCCTAGGCGCGCGTATGCGCGCTCTCGCGGCCGGCGCCGCTTTTGCGGCTGGCGCCGCTTCTGCGGCTGGAGCCGCTTCCGCGGCTGGCGCCGCAGGAGCGGCTTGCCCCGCCGGGCGCGGCTGGCCAAAGTTATCTGGCAGCTTCCATTTTTCGGCGAATCTGCATTGGCCAGATATCTTGGTGTGGTGAGGATTGCTCTTCTGATATTCCTTCTTACAGCTTGGACAGTCCCAGTAGTATGGTTCAACATCATACCACCGACACATCTTCGGATCCCTGCTGTGCTTTGGTGATTGCTTGTAGTTGTTGTCCACACAGCCAGGGCACCCAAGACCGCCAGGTGGTGGTCGCCAGATTTCTCCGTTTGGGTGTCTCCGGATTGTTGGGTCGTCCAAGTCGTA